GACCAGGCTGGCCTTGAACGAATGCACAGAGATCCGCCTGCCTCTGCTTGGTGGATTTCTCCATTCCCAAGCAGCTGCCCTGGCCTTTTCCTAAAGAAACGCCACACTCCCCCTTGTCCCTAGCTGAGCACACTGGTTTTATTAATCCATAAAATGGAAGTAAAAAGAGAGAAGGGCTGGGCGTAGTCATACTTGCCTTTAATCCCAGCTCTCAAGAGGCAGAGGCAGATGGATCTCTGTGAGTCTGAGGCCAGCCTGGTCTACAGAACAAGAGGATTGCAAGGAGTTCAAGTCCAGCTTGGTTCTCAAGACGTTTCCTTCTGCATGTCCTCCCCTGGACGTTTATGGATACATTTTTACATCCATGTATATCACCCTCATTAAAAATAGTCCCTCAGGGGACTGGAGAGATAGCATACTGGTTGAGAGTGTTAGATGCTCTTCCAGAGCATCCCAATTCGGTTCCCAGTACCCACATGGGGTGTCTCATGTCACTCCAGCTCCAGAGGATCTAATGCTCTCTTCTGGCCTCTGTGAACACCTGGACTCATGTGCACATACCCACATGCAGACAAAACATATATACATATAATTAAAAACAAAATAGTCCATCAAACTCCCTGGTGACTCATGCCTGTGACCCAGCCCTTGGGAAGAGGCTGAGGCAGGATTGCCACAAGGTCTAGACCAACTTAGGTTATCCAGTGAATTTCAGGCCAGCATAGGCTACAGAGTGAAATCTTGTCTCAAAACACACAGTTTCTCAGGGACCCATCTGTGTCCACATCTACCTTTGAACATGAAGAAATGTTTGGTTGCAGCCACCCTGCCCAGAGAGACAATTCTCTCGCCATTTAGAGTAAGTAGCAGGATGCTTACTCTCTCCACCACTAGAAGGCGCTGGTGTGCTGTCCACCCCAATTCCTCCTGCAGTGGATTGTTCGGTACGACCAGCCTGCATGCTGATCTGACTCCACACTCTGGTGGGATTTCCCTGAAATGAGGCTAGGGTCCAGACCAAAGAAGACCATATGTGTATGGGTGTTTTGCATGTATGTTTGTACACCACACACATGCAGTGTCCATGGAGGCCAGAAGAGAGCATCAGATCCCTTGGGACTGGCATTACAGTGTGAGCCAGTGAGTGCTGCACTGAAGTCCTTTGGAAGAACAGCCAGGGTTCCTAACCACTCACTGGGCATCCCCCCCCCGCCCCCCCCCCAGGCACCTGGTTTTCTAAACTCCTTCATTAGCTGGTAGCTTTCTATGTAACCCACAGCCACAAGCTCTTCTCATTGTGAATCAACATTGATCAGACTGTACGCCCCCCTGTGCCTTGTAGAGTGAGGCTGATCGTGGGACTGGGCATTCTGTGAGCCCCTTCCACAGTACAGGTGCCAGGTGTCCTTGCCACCATATACAAAGACACAGAGAAGCACATCTCCAAATAGCAACTGTAACAACTAAACTTCATTGTGTGCCTATTGTTTACAAACCTTAATCAATGCTTTCCAAGTTATCTGTGTAAGCCCGTGATTCCACACTGACCCACAGCCTCTTATTTGGGCTCTCAGCCAGTGGCTCTCAGTCTCCCATGAAACTCGCCTTCTCTACTCTGGTCAACACTTTGCTCTTCTTTCTGCTGGTGGTTAGTTGGCGCTTAACTGAAATCGAGAGCCCTTTCTCATTCTGCTAAAGCAGTGTGTATACCCTTCACCTCTCTACCCCCTAAGGGAGAAAGGGGGTCAGCTAAAAACAAGCAAACCAGTAACAGTGTGCCAGTGCTAAGCCAGGAGTGACATAGACGTCCCAATGGCTCTGTACAGTGTGGAGTACAAGTGTGTCTTTATAGCAGAGAATATGTGAAAGTGTCCCCCGCCTTCCATCCCATATCAAGAGACTGTAGAACCCTGCTTACTGGCTTGCAATGTGACTGTCTCCTCCACCACTGCTCTACGCCACCCTCACTGGAGGAAGACAAACCAATGCCCCCCCCCCCCCATCTAGAACTGAACTAAGTATTTTCTTTTCTACATCTGATTACCAGGGCTGGAGAGATGGCTCGTTAGTTAAGAGCATTGGCTACTCTTTCAGAGGACCAGGGTTCAATTCCCAGCACCCACATGTCAGCTCACACCTGTCTGTAACTCTGGTTCCGGGACATCCAATGCCTTCTTCTGGCCTCTGTGGGTACCAGGCATTTATATTGTATGCAGACCTATACACATAAAATAATACAGAAATAAATTGATTACCTCAGGCGTTTTGTTGTGACAATATGACGCTGACTGATAAAGATGTCTACAACAGCCACTGCTAAAGCATTGGTCACATCAGGCCTTGGTTTGCCAGCAGTGTGGCAGGACATTTAAAAATTACTTCGAAGCATTGTGGTGGTCCATTCCTCTAATCCCAGCACCCAAGAGACAGAGACGGGTGGATCTCTGTGAGTTCAGGCCAGCCTGGTCTACAGAATAAGTTCCAGGGCAACCAGAGCGGTTACACAGAGAAACTGTGTCTCAGGGGGGATCCGTTGAAGAAACTGAGGCACAAAAGCACTGAGAGAAATTGTTCCAGAGCCAGCAGACCCTCAGTATTCACGGTCAGCGTTCATTCACAGTCTGGAAGATTCTGTGAACTCCTGATAAGATCTGATTTGTGGCTTTGCCGAACCAGAACTCTAATGCTATGGGTTGTGAAGCTTGTCCATGGGAACCAGAGCCTTTGCTTGTGGGTGACCCTAGCTGGCTGGCTGCCCAGTAACCCCACCCCACCCAACACTTCCTGCTTGTTAAAACAAAACCACCCTGCTAGAGTAAATGACTTGCTAGTTGAGGGGACAGACGTGAAGAGATCTGAGGTGATGGTTCTTAGTCACTAACGGGTTTTTGTGGAGTGCAGGACACAGCCAGATGGTGTTCTGTGCTACTACCTGGACAAGTGCAGAGGAACAGTGAGTGGCGCATTCCAGCAGAGGCCTCAAGAAGCTTCACACCAAGGACAGTTAATAAGATGGCAGTTCTTAACTGAGTGGTGGTGGCGCACACCTTTGATCCCAGCACTCGGGATGCAAAGCCAGGCGGATCTCTGTGAGTTCGAGGCCAGCCTGGACTACAAAGTGAGTTCCAGGACAGGCGCAAAGCTACACAGAGAAACCCTGTCTCGAAGAAAGAAAAAAAAAAGATGGCAGTTCTTCTGTAACTTTCACAGAGTGGCCCTCTGATACCACAATTCCACTTTTGAGTATGTTTCCAAAGAACTGAAAGCCAGATTACCCGGCCCTTTAACCATTTTCAAATGCATAGCTCTGCAATATTATATACTCATACCTTTCTGCAGCGGCTGGTACGTTCGTGGGAGGGGACAGCCACATTTCTAGCTGAGAAGCTAAGAGGAAGGAATGTAGTCCCACAATGTCTTTCAAGGATGGTCTCCAAGTGACCTAAGGATCTCCTATAAGGCCCTTGCTCTCCGAAAAGATTGTGGTTTGGGTCAAGATTTCAAAGTTGTCAGTCAGTGGCCACTTGACTCCGCTGTCCTTCCTGGGCAATGGGGAGGCAGAGCACTGTGGTAGGGAGCATGAGGAAGTGTTGAGATGCTCACTTTATGGTGGCCAGGGAGCGGAGAGAAAGAGAAAATAAAAATAGGAGTGTGAGCCGACAAAATGACTCAGCAGGTAAAGGCGTATGTCATCCCCAATGATCTGAGTTCAATCCCCGGGACCCACGAGGTAGGAAAGAGCTGACTCACACAGTGTTCTCTGACCTCCACCGTGCAGCGAACCTCTGCATTCATGAATATGCACACACTAAATAAATAAATGCAGGAATACTTTTTGTTTTTTGGTTTTTTTTGGTTTTTTTTTCTAGAGCTGAGGACCGAACCCAGGGCCTTGCGTTTGCTAGGCAAGCGCTCTACCACTGAGCTAAATCCCCAACCCACAGGAATAATTTTTAAAAGTGGCACACGCCTTTAATCCCAGCACTCGGAGGCAGAGGCAGGTAGATCTCTGTGAGTTCGAGGCCAGCCTGGTCTCCAAAGCGAGTTCCAGGAAAGGCGCAAAGCTACACAGAGAAACCCTCTCTTGAAAAACAAAAAAACCAATAATAATAATAATAATAATAAAATAAAAAGACAATGGAACCAGGCGGTGGTGGCACATACCTTTAATCCCAGCACTCAGGCAGGTGGATCTCTGAGTTTGAAGCCAGCCTGGTCCAGGACAGCCAGGACTACACAGAGAAACCCTGTCTCGAAAAACAAAAACTAAATAAGTAAAATAAAGACAATGGGAATTTTCACAGCACATTCATAGCAGCACCATTTAAAACAGCAAGAAAGTGGAAGTAACACAATGTCCGGCTGTGGGCAGGTGAATGATAAACAAAAATGTGGTGTGTGAATATGTAAAGTGGAAGTGTCTTCAGCCTTAGAAAAGGGCATACTGCCACATGCCACCACATGGATGAACCGGGAGGAAGTCACACTGAATGAAATGAAGGCGTTGGAGAAGGGCCCAGAGGAGTCAAACAGAGAGACAGAGAGTAGAATGAGAGTTGCCTGGGGTGGGGTGGGGGGGTGGGGTGGAGAATTACTGTCATGGGTCTGGAGTTTCAGTTTGGAAAGGTGAAGAGTTCTGGAGATGGCTCATGGTGAATGTACTAAGAGCTACACAACTGTGTGTTTGAAAACTGTTAAGGGCATGGTGACTTCTAGAATCCTAGCTAGCCCTCAAGAGGCTGAGACTGGAAGACTTTGGATTTGAGGCTAGCCTGGTCTATAAGGTGAGACCCTGCCTCAAAAAAAAAAAAAAGAAAAGAAAAAGAAAAAGAAAAAGGAAAAAATCTGCATAAAATAATAATTTTGTTAGGTCCGTTTTATGACAATGTGGGGGGAAGCCAGTAGTAGTGTTCAAATCATGTTAATTTGGTGTAGAAACCAGGGCACAGGAAACACGTGACCCCTGAGTGAGTTAAATGTTGAACCGGTAGAAACTTACACACATACCACATTGGCAGGATCCCCAGTTGCCAGCATCCGAGCCCCACACGGTAAGTCACAGCCTCTGGCTTTCCCACTTCCCCTCCAACGAGCCTGGCAGTGTGGAACTTTTGGATTCTTTAAGTATCAAGCCTGAATTCTGATCTCTTCCTCTCTCTAAGCCTCAGCTCCCCCTCCCCACTCTGGTAAGCGGAGTGGCTGGGGGGATCCCCAGAGGGACTACCTCCATCAAAGCTTCGGAAGCTCATGTTTTTTTTTGTCCCCAGCCCACCAACCTGGCCCCGCCTTAGTGACTGTTTCCTGTTTTTTGCTTTCTTCCTTCCCTTCCCCCTCTGGGTGGCATCCATGTAGGTGACAGATTTAGAAACATAGCCCTGGCTTGCCTGGAACTCCCAGAGCTTGCCTGATTCTACTCAGGAGTGCTGGGATTGAAGACGTGGGCCACCATGCCCAACAGGGCCACCTCTTTCTTACCCCCAGGTCCACATGGGCTGTGACCTGGAAAGGGACAGTCCCTTCTCTCTCTTTCTCTCTGTCTGTCTGTCTCTCTGTCTCTCTCTCTTGGTTTTTTGAGACAAGGTTTCTCTGTGTAGCTCTGGCTGTCCTGGAACTCACTCTAGACCTTGAACTGGACTTGAACTCAAAGAGATTCTCCTGCCTCTGCCTCCTGGGATTAAAGGTGTGTGCCACCACTGCCATCCACTCCCCTTCTCTCAAATGAGCACCTTGGTTCTCTTCCTGAGAACCATGCAGTCAGTGACAGGAGATGTCAATGCCATGGCCCACATTCCCACCAAGCCTCTTCTTCCTTATAGATATTCAGGAATTTTCTGCTTTGTATTCTTTTTTGTTTGTTTGTTTTTTGTTTTTTGAGACAGGGTTTCTCTGTGTAGTTTTGGAGCCTGTCCTGGAACTCGCTTTGTAGACCAGGCTGGCCTCAAACTCACAGAGATCCACCTGCCTCTGCCTCCTGAGTGCTGGGATTAAAGGCGTGCACCACCACCGCCCAGCAGCCTTTGTATTCTTTTTGTGTAGCTTTGCGCCTTTCCTGGAACTCACTTTGTAGCCCAGGCTGGCCTTGAACTCACAGAGATCCGCCTGGCTCTGCCTCCCGAGTTCTGGGATTAAAGGCAGGCACCACCACCACCCGGCATGAAATGTCACTAAAGCTTTCATGGACTTAGCTCCTCAGGGGCCACTCACTCTCTTTCCAACCACTTGCTATAATTTTGTGTTAGTTTCTTCTCTGAAGTATTCGGTCATACAAACATGCTTGTTTTTGTTTTGTGAGATGGTTACACGGTGCCTAGCTTTCTGAATACCTTAAAACATCAACTCGTTTAAGCCAGATGTGGTGGCAAATGCCTGAAATCCTAGTGCTTGGGTGATGAAGAAAGAAGGATCAGGAGTTCAAGGCCAGCCTCAGCTGTATATCGGATTTGAGGCCAGCCTGGACTATAGAAGACTCTGTCTCGAGGGGGAAAAATTAACTCATTTAATTCACACAACAACTCAATGAAGGAGATGTTATCCTGAATCCCATTTTACAGATGAGGGAGTGGACCCAAAAAGAGATTGAATGGTTTGCCTAAGGTCACACAGACGGTAGGAAGTGAACACATGTTTCCTGAGTCTTGGCACAAAAGTTCTTCCAGGACACATACATATCTAAGAGAACTGTGAATTACAGGGAGAGATCTACTTAGCTCGGGGCTGGAGAGATGGCTCAGCGGTTAAGAGTACTTGTTGCTCTTGCAGAGGATGGAAGTTCCGTTCCCAGCGGAACTCAAGCGGTGACTCAGGACCACCTTACCTCTAGGACATCCAACACCCTCTTCTGGTCACAAACACAGAAAAATACAAAACAAGTCCGTTTTTATTCAGCTTTACAAGATAATATTTTGTTGTTCTCCAGGGAACCAATATACTCTCCCATCAGTAATTGTAAAAGTTTCTATTGACCTATAACTTCTCCAAAAATTGACCTTTAGATTTCTTAACTCTGCCAACTTAGTGGGCGTGGTTTTCGTCTTAATTTCTGTCCAGTTAAAAGTAATCTCCTCTTTCCTTTGACACTGTTTTGTGGATTTGATGCACTTGATGATGATTTGATGTTTATTTTCCAGTGCTGGGAATGGAACCCAGGACCTGTGCGTGCCAGGGAAGCACTCTGCCCCCTGAGCTACATCCCCAGCCCCTCTTGTTGATGATTGACAGTTTTGAAGTCTTGCCTAATACCTTACCCCAATGACATAATAGTTCCGACATTTTCTTGTCAATGTTCCTAAAGTTTTCCTTCGCACATAACGACTCTTCACTGTGAATGGAATCGGGTTCTCCAATGGATGTGATGTGGGGATGCCACGCCCCCTCCCCATCTGGTTGATCGGCTGACTCAGCCTCACATAACAGACCTTTCTTTTACCCAGCCATCCACAGTGCTACCCCTGACATGTGTTCGTCAGGTGTGTTTCTAGGTTCTAGAAACTGGGACCCGCTAATTAATCTCCCTATACCCATATTAATATGTTTTATTGAATCTCAATACTCAAAGAGCAAATTGCTTATCTTATTCTTTCCACATGTCTTTATCCTCTTATCTTTCCACAAACACTTTATGATCAGCTTTCAAGTTCCATGGGCAACCTTATTGGGATTAACTGGAGTTGCATTGAATCTGCATATCAGTTGGGAAAGAAATTATCTTTCTTTTCTACTTTATTACATTTTATTTTAGGGGGCACATGCATGCTCCAGCACACATGCCGAAGTCAGTGGACAGCTTGTGGGAGTCAGTGCTCTCCTTCTACCACATGGGTCCCAGGAATCAAACTCAGGTCATCAGGCTTGGTGGCGAGGGCCTGTACCCTCCAAGTGAGCCGTCTCAGCAGCCCCCACTCAAATGTCTATTTCTTCTCAAATTAAGTCTGAAAAGTTAATTTTTCTAAGATTTGGTTTACTTTGTTCCATATCTTATGGCATACATTATTTTATAGTGTCCTTTATTTTTTATTATTGGGCAAGGGGGTTGAGAGTAGCCCAGATTGGCTTCAAACTCACCATCCACCTGTCTTGCCATCTAAGTGGTACTGGGATTATACATCTGGTTTTATTTATTTATTTGTTTGTTTGTTTTTTGAGACAGGGTTTCTCTGTGTAATAACAGCCCTGGCTGTCCTGGAACTCACTCTGTAGACCAGGCTGGCCTTAAACTCAGAGATCCACCTACTTCTGCCTCACAAGTGCTGGGATTAAAGGCATGGGCCACCACCACCACCTGGCTTATTTTTATCTTCATTTATTTTTTATTTATTTATATATTTTTTGGTTTTTTTCAAGACAGGGTTTCTCTGTGTTGTTTTGGTGCCTGTCCTGGATCTCGCTTTGTAGACCAGGCTGGCCTCGAACTCACAGAGATCTGCTTGGCTCTGCCTCCCGAGTGCTTATTATTATTATTATTATTATTATTATTATTATTATTGTGGAACTGTACATATAAAATGAGCTGTATACCCATTTGTTTATTTATTTTTCAACCAAGCACATTCAATTGTTCTGAAACTAATCTTCGGAACCAATCTTACAAAATGAAACTACCCGTAAGAAAACTCCTATGGGGTTGGGGATTTAGCTCAGTGGTAGAGCACTTACTTGCCTAGCAAGCACAAGGCCCTGGGTTCAGTCCTCAGCTCCGGAAAAAACAAAAAAAAAAGAAAAAGAAAAACTCCTACTCCTACTTCCCTTCCCAGCCCCTGGCAGCCTCCCTTCTCCCTTCTGTTCTGTGAGCATCTTTTTATAACTCTGCTGAGATTCCATGCTTGTTCTGGTCATGGCTGTTTGCTTTCTTTTTGAGCCTTGTCCGGAAGTTTCCTCCGGCCTTCTGCTGTCTTGCCTGTCCCTCCCAAGGGTCTCCAGGGAATCTGACCCTCACAATGGCCCTTTGCCCCTGCTCTGGTGGGCTTCATCAGCTATCACAGCTGCCTGTCACTCATAGGGACTTCACTCTTTCCTAGGTCTGTGACCTTGATCAAACCACTCAGCCTCTCAGTGCCTCAGTTTCTCCTTCTAGGAGATGAGAACAGTAGGAGCACTTGAGCTTGTAGAGTTTCGGAGAAATTAGTTAATAATTATAGAGTGCTTTGACAGTGCCCAGCATGAAGTAGGTACAGCTGATGCCCTGAGACAACATTTCAATCAGTGATGAGTCACCTGCACAACAGGTCCCAGAAATTACACTGAAGATAGAAAGTCCACACCATCGGAGACCTCGTGCCCTCGTAACACTGTAACGCCTTGTCCCCAGACCCCTGGTGGCATTCAAGTGCGGCATGGACAACTATGTGCACGAAGTACGTTGTATCCTGTACCATCCAGGTTTGTGTGGCCACACTACGGTGCTCACACAACCACAAATTGCCTGATGACGAATTTCTCTGAGCCTGAACTACAAAGTGAGCTCAAGGTCAGGGTGGACCACTTAGTGAGACCCTGTCTCATAATGAAGAGCACCAAGAGTGCTGGGGATGCAGCACTGAGCACTTGCCTAGCCTGTACGAAGCCACAGCATCTCAGTCACCAGCACCCCCAAAATGGAAAAAGAACTGTTCCTTCCCTAAGGAAGGCCTGTCTGTCTGCGTTGCTGTATTATTATTACCACTTTTTTTTTTTGTTTTTTGATTTTTTTGGTTTTTTGAGACAGGGTTTCTCTGTGTAGCTTTGTGCCTTTCCTGGAACTCACTCTGTAGCCCAGGCTGGCCTCGAACTCACAGAAATCTGCCTGCCTCTGCCTCCCGAGTGCTGGGATTAAAGCCGGGAGCCACCACCGCCCGGCTTTATTACCACTATTGTTGTTATTATTATTATTTTATTTTATTATCCAGAGGAGGTCAATCTCCACTGTATCACCCAGACCCTTCCAGGCGTCCACTCCTGTTCTCAGCACTCTGTCACCCCATGTGAGATCAGACCCCCCTGACCCCACTCCCCTTCTCCCGACTTCTCTCTGCTTACTCTGTCTTTCCCTCCCTTCTGGAATGATCTCAAAGCCTGGCAGCCGCATGCAGGGACTTCCCTGGGTCCAGGCTGACATCATCTGCACTAGAGGAGATCTATACACACAGTCAGTGCTCAGCGTGGTGGGAACGGCAGGACACCATAGGACTCTTCAACCCAGGAACCCAGGCCACTGGTTGAGCCACTGAAGCTTCCGCTGCTTGACTTCGGGGGAGGGGGGTGCGGTGGTCTGGGAACCAGCCTTGCATGTGGATTCCTGATCTTAGATAATAAGTCCTCAAAACCCTGGGACTCCCTTCAGATAGGCCCTTCCTGGGATTCCACCAAGAAATCAAGGAGGCCTGCTTTTGCCACACCTGTCCTGGAGAATCTAAGAACCGAGAGAGTAAGGTTGGCTATATGGTGAGCACAGCGTTGCCTGGGAAGGTCTTCTATCCCATAATAGCTCACTGCCTGTGGGAAAGCCTGCCCGGAAAGCATTAGGCTCTAGCCTTCCCAGACCAAGGCCTGCCTGAAGAGTAGATGGGCAAGAAGGCACTAACTGACATGCCCAGAAAAAGGCCTAGGATTTGAAATGGGCTGTAGCCAGTCTGTTCCCTGACTCCTGGGCCCAGGCCACTGGAGACCACTGTGGGCTCCCCTTTTGCAGTCTTTGAGCCCCATGTGGGCCCTGCATTGGCTGAGTTCTCCTGGAAACTAAGCGAGACATTAAGGTGTGCAGACATATGCAGGGCATTAGCAGGAGATTGCTGTGTGACAGTGTTCTAACTTTGGATATTATCTTCCCAGAGATGACTACAACAGAGGCCCGGTGGGATTCAGAGTTCCCCAGATCTGAGGCCTCAATCTGCCCCGTGCATAGAAATAGGAATTCCATGTACACACGCATACACACACACACACACACACACACACACACACACGTAAGTGCCTGCACACATGCCCGAGTGTCGCACATACTTCCTTGAATGTGAGCTCCCATTGCTCTCCTAACCCTACACAGGGAGTAAGCCACGTGGGAGGACCGTGTTACACGCCAGCTTATCAACTGCTTCCCAGCTTCCTCTGCCTGAATTCTTGAGGGCCTGAAGGCTTGGGAGCTGGCCTGTGCATATGGCTTCCTGATCTCAGATAATGAGAGGAAATGAGATCACTGGTACAGAGAAGACTACGGAGGATTTCAGCCCGGGCTCCAGCCTTCACTCCTCAATCTGTGGTGTCCATCTCTCCATCTCCCTCCAGGCAGCCTTCAGCTGTGCCCCTGGAGCCGACAGACCCCACAGACCCCACCTGAGATGTTTTCTTTTGCTTGCCGGAGCCTGTCTATAACCCTTCTTGCCCTGCTCTGCTGCTCAGGTAAGCGGTCCCCAGGGTTCCCAGCACGTGGCATCTTAGGGTGGGGAGTTTCACACTATTCCTTGGGCTTCAGGTTGGGGAGGAGGGCATCCTGGCCACAGGGGCCTCTCCAGCATGGATACAGAAGACCGTGACAGCCTGGCTTTGGTTTTTTCCACGGTCTCAGGCAGTGTCTAGAATCATGGCCTCTCGGTTACTAGATGGAATAAGCCCGGGGCTCTGAGAATGTTGATGTGACAGGATACCAAGGTTGGTTGGTGAGTGGTGGGTGAGTAGGGGACTCAGGAAGGGATGCCAGGGTCTAAGCGAGGATGAGACTGTGCCAAAGGGGCCTAGTGAACAGCAGAGGGCAGCAGAAGACACCGCTCACTAGGGCACAAAATGAAAACGAAACCCTTTGCAGCGGGTCAAGGAAACCGGGAAGGACACCGCCCGCCTGCTACGCGCTGAGTGCCTTGTGCCCTAGACAACCTGCCAAATGCTTTCAAGCCTGATTGCACTCATGACCCCGTGCACATTACCCCTCTCAATGGATGAAGAAACTGGGGCTCAGAGAGAGACTGTGCCCAGCCCTAGGCCGCCCAGCCAGTGCATGGCAAATGCTGAGTTCAAATCCAGCACTGTCCACAGGGAAAGACCCTCTTTTCCCACCTTCTTACAAACCGCTAGCTGACGGCTGAGTGCGCTGTGTAGGGAGGTAGAAAGCACAGGCCGTGCTTAGGGGCCCTGCTGGCTGGGACCTAGAACCTTCCTGGTCCTTACAGAGTGGAGGTGAGCACTGAGGGTCCCATCTTCCTATACCAGATGTCTTGCACAGGGCTGTGTGGTCAGCATAAAGAGAAGTAGGCCTAGCCTTCTAGAAGCTTCACAATGTTTACAGAGCATCAACATACATTATGAGTCACTGGTACAACAGGTCCTTTTCCTGTTGCTTTTCTGGCCTTGTTTCTCACAGTCCTCTTCCAAGCTCCTGCCATGCTGGCCCTCCATTGCTTCGTGAGAGCATGCTGCCAAGGGCAGGTCTGTGAGCCAGCAGCTCCCTTTATCTGAAACATGCTCCCACAACACATGCGGGGTCACGACCCCCCTCCATATTTGCCTCAATGTCATTATACCCTCCCCACACCCCCCACACCCCCCAGGAGCTGAGGACCGAACCCAGGGCCTTGCGCTTGCTAGGCAAGCGCTCTACCACTGAGCTAAATCCCCAACCCCATTATCTTTATCTTTTATCAACCATGTTATTAAAAATGGAGTCCCTCTGGGCAGTGGTGGCACATGCCTTTAATCCTAGCACTCAGGAGGCAGAGGCAGGTTTGAGGCCAAAGAGTTCCAGGACAGTCAGGGCTGTTACACAGAGAAATGCTGTCTCGAAAAAAAGAGTCCCTCCACTACTACCTGCCCCCTCTGCCTGGAGCTTACCACTACTCAAAGGCTGTCCTGACAGTTCTCTGTAATTATGTGAGCTCAGAGCTTAACTCCGTTCTCAGAGGTGTCTTCATGACAGAGGGAACTTCAAACTGCAGCTTAAGGCAGTCGGAGACAGGCTTGAGGAATATTGACCTAGGGCTGACGGACAGAGGGACTGGAGGAGAGAACACAGGAGTCACTGGGTGGCAGCTTCTATAGGCCTGACCCTGGAATGGGACAGAGGGACCAAAGGTGACCTGTCTTCTTGAGCCTTAATGACATCCACTGGTTGTGGCGGCATTCCTGCTGAGCTCCTGGCCTGGCTCCAGAGAGCAGCACCTAGCCCTAATCCTTCCTTTGTTTAACCACACCTTTTGTTTCTCTTATCGCCCTACGTGAATCTTGTCTGAGAGTCAAGGATCAGAGAGTCCCCCAAGGATCAAAGGCCTATGCAAAACTTGGTCCAGGAAACCTGGAAAACTATGGTACCTGAGAAATCAAGTAATTTGCACTTGGCATTTGGTCTCTGGGAGCTCCTTTTAGGTTGCTTTGAAGATATGGAAATCAACTGGCTAAACTGTAATTAGAAATAAAAATACCCTAGGCGAAGGGATAGTGCTTCAGTCCTTTGAGGCTGAACACCCCCTCTGCAGCCATGAAAGGCTAGATTCATTCTTAAGATGCCTCTGAATCTTCATTCCACGGATCCTCCTGAACACACACACCCGTGCTGTGACACACAGTTAAGCTGGTAATAGCGATCCCTGAGGGCAGGCATCAGAGACATCTGCTGCCTGATTCTTTTGGTCTTACAGGGTCTGGTAAGAAGGCGTTTGAGGTCTACATACAGTCCGAGAAGCATGTAGTGGAAGCCACAGAGTCTTGGAAAGTCAACTGCAGCACGAGCTGTGAAAATCCGGAAAAGGGTGGTCTGGAGACCTCTATGAGTAAGATGATGTTGGAAGAGCACCCTCAAGGCAAGTGGAAACAGTTCTTAGTCTCCAACATCTCCAATGACACGAATATCCTCTGCCATTTCACCTGTGAGAAGCAGCAGTACTCTACGGATCTCAACATCACAGTATATGGTGAGTGTCTATACATGGGCCTCCACTCCCAGGGCGGAGCCCATGTCTACTACGCAGTCCCAAAATTTGTCAGTGACCGCTCCTGGGTCTTCTCATCATGGTTCTCGTCTCCCTGGGCTCCTGAACCACAAGCAGGTCAGGCCTGTGGGCTCAGGATCTGCTTATACCCTTGGGTAGACTCCATGAGTCCTCCTCCTGTACTTCAGAAGCAGACCGTGCAGGTTTTGAATCTTGCTCCAAGGTCAGTCTGGCCAAGGTTTGCACAGATCTAGAAGTCAGTTCCTACCCCAGCTCAGCCACCAGAGCACTCCATGGGCATCCCTGGTTCAGTCACCAGAGCACTCCCATAGGCATCACAGACAGTGAGAATGAGAGGAGCTAGTGGGCATCATGAGATGAAGGAACTACTACAGAATACCGAAAAAATACAAGTGCCGAGCAGGATTTTGTCACACACACACACACACACACACACACACACACACACACACACACCCCAAGGACCTGTGGCAAATGTATAAGCCTTGTATACACACCTGCCAGGATAAGCCAGGATTCTCGCAATGTCTTACCTCCAGGTTGTCACTGCAACCCATTACCAACATTGATGGATCAAAAAATGGAAAGATGTTCTAAATCCTAGGTGGGGTGGGGGTGAGTGGAGGAGAGGCGTTCTAGTTTGAAAGGGAACCAGGATACCTCTGTAGCCCTTATTCAGTGGATCTGGAATTGTGCTGGTTGTTAAACTGATTGGAGAAGTGAGGCAACCCGACTCCTGCCCCAGCTTCATGAGGAGCCTCAAGGTCAGCTCCTCAAGGGCCCACGTGCCGAAGCGCTCCCTTCCGAATGCTCACAGCCAGCTCTTTAATTGGAAAATTTGTGTTTAGTATCTGGAGGGGATGGAGACAGGTTCAGATCTTCTAGCTGGCTCTACGATCTCTGGATCTTCTCTTTGTAGCCCCCATTTCTATTTTCCAAATCATGCCCACAGAACCAGCACCCAGGACATTCTCTACCATTTACTTCCGCTTCCTCCTCCTCCTCCTCCTCCTCCTCCTCCTCCTCCTCCTCCTCCTCCTCCTTCCAATGAGCAGGCCAAGTCCCAGTCCACTTCCTGTCTCTCAAGTCCAGCTAGGGACCTGGGATAGCAGGAGATGGGCCCTGACCAGGTTGGGCCTGTAGGGACAAAGTTCCATCCTGAGTGGCCTTCCTTCTTTGTCTCCTACAGAGCCTCCGTCTCAGGTCACCCTGAGGTTGAAGCCCCCTCGGGTGGTTGTGGGTGAAGCCTTCACCGTTGAGTGCACAGCATCAGCCGTGAAGCCCCTTGAGAGCCTGACCCTCACTCTGCTCCATGGCAGGGAGACCCTGCAGAACCAGACCTTCGAGGGAACTGAACAGAAGGCCATAGCCATATTCAACAGCACAGCTCTAACAAAGGGTGATCTCAACTTCTCCTGCCAGGCTGAGCTGGACCTGCGGCCCCATGGTGGGCACATAATCCGCAGCATCTCAGAGTCCCAGATCCTTGAAGTCTTTGGTAAGAAGACTGACTCTATGGGCCGAGAGGGTCGGAGATGGCGCTCCTTCTTAGCACTGTGGGGAAGAAAAACCCATGAACCCCACTCTTCGGTGGTTTGATGTGCATGTAGAATCCTGAGGGCTCCCTCTTACTTCCCTGACTTGCTGGGTGTCTCTACAAGTTCCAAGCTGAACCCCAACTTTTCCAGAAGCCAGGAGAGCTCAGTTAGTGGCTTGGCCATCATTGAGCTGTGTAGTCTTGACCATGGTAGTGAGCTCTCTCTAGCTATGACCACCCTTTCTACAATGAGAAGGCTGGCTGGCCTGACGCACAGGTTCCCCAGAGTACTGCTGTTCTGTGACACTTGGTGGCCAAAGCCTGCTGTAATGAGCTTGCTTGAAACTCACTCAGCTCTGCCTGAGAAGGGGCAGGGTATAAACATGAGTGTGATGTCCTCCAGGCCATAGTGGTGTTGGTGTTCTTACTCTTTTCTCTTTGGGGGCCCACCACCCAGCTCTCAAATAATCACACAGAGACTTAGTCTTTCTTATTAATGCCCGGCCTTAGCTTGGCTTATTTCTAGCCAGCTTTTCTTAACTTAAATTATCCCATCTACCTTTTGCCTCTGGGCTTTTACCTTTCTCTATTTCTATGTATCTTTTCTTTCCTTCTTATTCCATGTCTGGGTGGCTGGGTGGCTGGCCCCTGGCATCATCCTCTCCTCCTTTTCTCACTCCTCCTTTTTTTTCCTTCTATTTATGCTCTCTGCCTGCCAGCCCCACCTAACCTTTCCCCTGCCTAGCTATTGGCCATTTAGCTCTTTATTAGACCAATCAGGTGTTTTAGACAGGCAAAGTAACACAGCTTCACAGAGTTAAACAAATGCAACCTAAAAGAATGCAACACATCTTTGCATCATTGAACAAATGTTCCACAGCATAAACGAATGTAACACATCTTAAACTAATATTCCACAACACCATGGTGTCCAGCCTCTACATACTGCCCTCAGGAGCTGCTGGAAGAGGGGTGTCTGCTCTGCCTGATGGCCTAGAGTGGAGGCCACCTTCCTTATATGTCACTCCAGAGGCAGACACCTTATGCCACTGCTTTCTGCTACCAGGCTGACTGTGGAATGCATAAGTGGGCAAGGAGTGATGGGTGGACTCCCTGGGGTGTCTGGCACCTGAAAATCTCTAAACCTATTGTCTCTTCCCTCCCCAGGACCTATGCAGGACAACCAGATGGTCATCATAATCGTAGTGGTGTCAATACTCTTGTTCTTATTTGTGACATCCATCCTACTCTGCTTTATCCTCGGTCAGCACTGGCACAGGAGGCGGATGGGCACCTATGGGGTGCTAGCTGCCTGGAGGAGGCTGCCCCGAGCCTTCCGGCAACGTCCCGTGTGAGCTGATGTTGCCGGGCCCCTGGTGGCTGCTGGAACTCAACATGGCACCCTCGGGGTGTGGTCCAGCATGGGCTGAAGGACTGTGGCAGCAGCACAAGACTCTGGGGACATTTCCTTCTTTGAGCCTCAATACAAATCCCTGGGTTTCACCCTGTGCCCTCCATGTCTGCTCCTGGGCTAACAGACAACACCTGTGACAAGGAAGGTAGTAAGTGTCACCTGCTCACCCCAAGTCTCCTCCGTTCTTCCCGCCTCTCTGCTATTTCCCAGGGCTTTCCAGAGCCTCTGCAGCCCAGGCCCCAGACATCTACCCACACCATTAGCAACCAATTTCCTACTGAGATCTCATGAGCGGGAGGACATTGTTTGCACATGGCCCTGGGGACCTGAGGCCATTCCTGGTTGAATCAGGACCCAGCTCTGACTCTCCTTTCCGCCAACAGAGTCCAGTGAAGCCGAGTCCGCCGCAGGGGTCTCCTGAGCTGGCCTTCTCCCCAACCAAGCTGCCCTCCACGGGCCTTAAGGCATTTGGAGACCCAAGCCACCCTCTTCTCCCTTGCCCTATTTCAGGCCCAAGGGTGATGCCACAGAGAGGAGAGAGGGGCAAAGGCCAGCTGGGGCTCTGGTATCAGGGCCTGACTCTGGTTCAGACAGGAAACAGTGGATCAACTGGGTTTATGTGGCTTCTGGGTCAGGGAGGGGTTCTAAGGAGCTTTTGATGCAGAAGAGCCTGCTCAAGATAGCAGTGGAGTTGAGAGCCTGATGCCCCAGGGTAGAGGGCTTGGCTGGGGCAGAGTGGGTCAGAAGGTCTCCGGCATGGGTGCAGAGTCGCTCCGGTATGGGTGCAGAAGCTGGTGAGGCCTGGTGAACGTCTGTCTTCACGGCAGGCTCTCAGCGTCGTAGTAGTCTAGAGAAACAGAACCCTCGGCTTGCTCCTTCCTGCCTTGGTGGACCCCAAGGAGGAACACAGAATGGGACAGGCAGTGGTTGGCAGGAGCCCCCCTCCACAGAGCACATGGCCCTTCTGACATCTCCGTCTGCCCCGGGTCAGGCCCCACTGACCTGAAGCTGGGGGTACATCCGCTCCAACAGTTCCTGTGGCACTGGGGGGCGGGGGTGGGGGCACATCTCTCCTGAGATGGGAGCGAGAGAAGAAAGACCATGTCAGAGGCCCAGGGCGGCTTTTGAGGCTTTACCCCCAAGCCAGCTCTTTCAACCTAGATCAGGGACCTGGCCACACCCAAACCCCTCCAGTCTTACTTACACCTCCCCTCGCCTGGAGGCAGGGGGCTGGCGCTGAATCGCCGGTGCACCCTGCCAGGGAGGCTGGTGCGGGGGAACAGGGAGGAAAGAGGCTGGCCAGAGTGCCATGGGGCCCAAGGAGGTCGCTGGGCAAGGCAAATAGTGATGGTGGAACACCAAAGGCTCCTGCTCCTGGGCCTCCATCTCTTCCTCCACCTGTTCCTGTTGGCTGTCTGTATAGACCTGGGGGTGTGCAAAGTGAAGGGGTGTGTGTGTGACACAGGTTCAGCCCTCCCTGCCCCCACTGCTCCGCCTCCTCCACCTCCATCTCCTGTACCATTTCCTGCACACAGTCATCAGCGGAAAGGCTACTGTCTAGTGAGCTTTCTCTGCGTGCAGGCAAGGCGCTCTGGAGACGCCCACCCCATCACTCTGCAGAGAGAATTGAGTCTCTAAGAGGTGAAGCAACTCACCTGAATCCCCTGAGAGCTAACAAGAGGCAGTTCAGGGACTCACTGGGAGAATCCCAGCGACTCCAGAGTGGGTACCGGAAGTCTGTAAATCTGCTTTAGTTCCTGCATCTTTCTGGGCCCCTCAAGGAGGGGAGATGCTCATCACAGGGCCTCAGAGGGCCTAGGGGTAGCAGCCCTGACTCAAGATCTCCACCTCCCTCAACTCCTCAACTAGCCCCTCCTTGAACCCCTCCTGGTCTCCCAGAGCCCCTTTTCCATTGGGTCCTCCTTTTTCAGACCTCACACCCCTTACTCCCTCCATCCTGGGTCAGAATCTTACCTGGTTCTCTAGGGACGGTCCTAAGGCCACCTGCGGTCCTCAAGGACTCTCCTTCCTCCGCTCCTTCACCAAGTGTACACTCGTACCCCATTTCCATACCTGCTTGTCACAGCCTACCTAGCCATTCCCTCACCCATTCATTTGTTTGACAAATAGCAGCTGAGCCCCTAAAAAGAGTTCTGCACCAGGCTCCAGCGGTACCTGCCCTGCTGGAACCTGAGGTACACAGAGCAATGTCCAGAAGGAAAGCTTTGGAAACAACGTCTGGGTGGTAGTGGAGATCTGGAAACTCCCGACACCAGGCCTTGGCACACAGTAGATGGCAAAGGGACTCAGCCCGACAGGGGTGTGGGCTAGCTTCCTGCTGCTACTCTATGCTCTTTTCTCCAGGTGGGGGACCCCCAGATAGAGCTGCACCTTGGGCCCCACCTTCACACACCTGTGGGCTGGACCACTCTGGCCCTGGGTTCAGGGCTCCGGCCACCAGCTGACTCAGCAGCAGCTGCTGCATCTGGGCATTCTGCAGCATCATGAGCTCCAGCAGGTCTGGGGAAGAGGTTTCAACAGAGCCAGCCAGCCTCCACCCTGTTCCACCCCGTTCCGTCCTTCCCACCTCACAGCATTTATACAGGGGGTAACCAGCTCAGGGAGAGAGGCCGCAGGTGTGTGCGGCAGGGGGGAGTCAGGAGAGCCACCCAGGGGAGTTACCTTCCTTGACTCGGCTAGGCTGAGGCAGAGGAGTCGGGACAGTCCAAGGACAAGGCTGCAAGATGGTCACCCAGGGCTGGGGACATGGGTGGGGAGACTCAGCCAAACCAGGGAGAAGAGGGGTGAGGCATGTCGGGAGCCCCACCCCCCCACCCCACCCCCCGTTCCCCCCTCAGTGTCTCTGCACCTCATGGCCTCCCTCCTCCCAGTCCGGTCTCTTCCTCTCGGTTTGGGACCCCACCCCATATGTGCCCCAGAGTTTACCCCCATCCCAGCTCCGCAGCCTCCACCCCACCTCCCATTCAACAGCCTGTGCTCCTGGGCTCAGGCCTCACCGTAGGGGCTGCACTCTGTGATGGGGCGCCGCTCCAGCTCCCACTCCCGAGGGAGGCCATGGCCTAGCAGGTCAGTTACCTTGGCAGCTCTGGGGACGCCGGAGAGGGCTCCTCCCAGGAGTACACTGACCCGCCCAGCCCAGGATGCCTGGTGTCTGGGAAACAGCCCAAGTCTCCGCCCTGGCCCTCCTCTTCCAGATTGTGGGGTCTTTTCACCCTGGCTCTCTTCCTCCGGAATGTGGGGTCTTTGGGGATTCTGAGGCTCAGATCTCTCTTCTGGAGATCCACCTTCAGGCCCCTATGTGGGGTTCTCCAGACTTTGGCCCTACTCCTCCTGGCGCTGATGTTAACTCTGGGGGACTCATGTTTGTTGAGTGAGAAGCTAGGGTGACTTGGTTTCCTGGCCCCATAGGAATAGAAAATTGTATAGGACCTGGCATGAGTGTGTGAGGCAGGTGAGGAGGGCAGAGCACACACTCACTGTCACTCTGCCAATCACTCTTAGGAGAGGGGAGTCCTAAGGACCCAGTGGTTTCTGGAGGGGGACCAGGCAGACACTGGGCAAATTCACCAACCAGGCTGTGGCTCTGGCCCACAGTGCCTGGGGGTCTTTATGTCTCCCCTGCAGATTCACTCAGTTCCTCAAAAGCTGAGCCGTTCACTGCTCCCTCAGAGGTGGGGAAGGTGGGCATTCAGGAGTCCCCAGCACCATCTTGTGTTTCCAAAGCATGCATTCTTCTGACAGGAAGTTAGTCAAGTGTCTATTGCTTAAGAACAGGTGAAGAGGGGAGATCTATTTCCGCAGCTGTGACATCCAAAGACAGGCCCTGAGCAGCAGTCAGGACAGTCCCGACAGGAAGCTGGGATTAACACCAAAGTCACACACACACACACACACACACACACACACACACACACACACACACGCCCATTCTCTACTTCTGTTCCCCTTTCCACAGTCCTGGAGTGCAGAGCCAGAAGGAACATTCCCAGCTCCTCCTTTGCCCCTGTCTGTTGGAGATATTGTTACTGGATTTATCAGGGTCAGAGCCTCTGCCCTCTCAGTCCTGGACAGCCACCTTCGATAAACTGATTAAAAAGACAAATTCACTTTTTTAGGTGGTGCACACCTTTAATCCCAGCACTCAGGAGGCAGAGGCAGGCAGATCTCTGAGTTTGAGGCCAGCCTGGTCTACAGAGTGAGATTCAGAACAGCCACAGCTACACAGAGAAACCCTGTCTCAAAAAATCAAATAAGTAAAAAAAAAAATTAATAGTAAAAATGTGGAAAAAAGGAGATTGATTCATGTGGCCATATTAGGAAGGGGACAAAGGGATCCAGTGACAGCTTCACCAATCGGTCCATCCCCAGGATTCTGGCATGAGGGTTAGGTGAAGAGAACAGCAAAACAGTCCAAGAGGAAGTCACTGGGCCCTGCAGATCAGCCAGAAGGGAAACCATCCCCACAGAGGTTGCTGCTTTTTACACCACAGTGTAAAAGTGGAGTCTCAGGTATCCTAGGCTGCCCTCAACTTCCAAATGTGCCAAGGACACCCTTGAACTCCTTAACACCTCACAGCCTGTATTTCTCACATGCTGGCATTAATATGGATGAAAAGATCTTTTTTTTTTAAATCACATGTAGGTCTCATGACACCTTGTTTATGGGGTGCTGGGCAGGGCTTCATGAGTGCAAATGTTTTATCAATCAACTGAATCATAACCAGAGCCCCAAGAGCCCCAATTCTCAATAACAAAGCTTGTGTGTGTGTGTGTGTGTGTGTGTAGCCTCTCAATACACTACTGCTCAGCCACGGCATATCTATATTGATGTGGAAAGATGTCAAAGAGAGTGGACTGAAAAAGACCAGTAGGATCTTATTGTGTTTGTTTTTAATTTTTAATTTTCTTTTATGTGTTTTGGTGTTTCGCCTGCATGTGTGGCTGTATACTACATGTGTGTCTAGTGCCCCTGGAGGACAGAAGGGGTATTGCACCACCTGGGTAAGCGTTCCATATGGCTGTGAGCTATGGTGAGGGTGTTGGAATTGAAACCATCTATTACCAACCACTGAGCCATCTCGCCAGCCTCTTTGTGTGTGTTTTTAAAGATTTCCCTTGGTGACCTTTGTGCTTGGATTCCTCAGACTCCATCTCTGGTCAGGTCTTCCTGGAGATTAATATGGATGAAAAGATCTTTTTTTTTTTTTTAAATCACATGTCCAGGACTAGGAAGTAGCTCCATTGGCTCCGTGAGGCCCTGGGTTCATCCCTAGTTCCATACAGGTACACAAACCATAGATATATGCTTGTATATTTGTGGAGTGTGCATGCCATGGGTGTGTGTGTGTGTGTGTGTGTGTGTGTGTATAGGGGGAGAGAGAGGGAGAGAATCAACGACAGAGTCTGTGGATACCTGCCTCCCCACAAACCAGGTCCTCTGTGACCAGCTCCCACACTCGCCTGGCTCTCCACATTTCCTACCCACAGGTGAGACAGGCCAGGAGGCTTGGGAGCCTCCAGCAATGAGGGAGAGGGTATTCCTTGGGGTTGGCCAAGGTGAGTCTCATAGAGACTCTCTCGGGGGCACCTTATGGATGTTAGCGACATCACCCACATTACCCGTGCCAGCCCACTCCGGGGTGTGCGCCTTGCTGGCTTTTAGTCTGTCCTTGTCCTTTCTCCACTGGTCATGGGGCTTGCCTCCCAGCTCCTGGTAATGGGGTCTGCTTTGGGGAATTCCCCACTTAAACACCAGCCTCCTCCTTCCACGTCTGCGTTCCCACAGAGAAGCCCTGGAAAGATGCTGTGTAAAACCTGTATTTAGAACACAAGGCTGAGGGGAAACTGGTGTGCCCTATTCAAATGCTTTGGAAATCAAACCATCGCCATACAAAGGCGGAAACATTCCCAAATGGCTGCCTGAGCTCTGGAGAGTTCTGGAGGAGGTGACTTGCCAGCTCCTTCCCTGTCCACGATAATGTTCTTTCAGATGTTGGACCCTCCACTCTTCCCTTCGTGTTGTGCCTCAGTGGGGACTCTTCCTTCTGTCTTTAGGTTTTTATTTGTTCATTTTGTGTGTGTGTCTATATGTGTGTGTGCATGTTTGTGTGCCAGTGTGCATACTTGTGTGTACATAAGGAGGCTTCACCTTTTTTTTGTCTTTGTTTTTTGTTTTTTGAGACAGGGTTTCTCTCTGTCTTTGGAGCCTGTCCTGGAACTCACTCTGTAGCCCAGGCTGGCCTCAAATTCAGAGATTCACCTGCCTCTGCCTCCCGAGTGCTGGGATTAAAGACATGTGCCACCACTGCCCGGCTACAGTGTTATTTTTTAATTAATTACTTACTTGTTTTTTATACATATGGGTGTTTTGTCTGAATGCATGTCAGTACATCACATGTGGCCTGATGCCTGCAGAGGCCGGAAGAGATCATCGGATCCCCTGGAACTGGAGTTACAGATGGCTGTGAGCCACCATGTGGGTGCTGGGACTAGAACTGGGTCCTCTGCAAGAGCGGTCAGTGCTCTTCACCCACTGAGTCAGTCCTCTGGTCCCACAGTGTTATAGTGAAAGAACTGAGAATCGAACATTATTCAGTGTCCAATAGTAATAATTAGGCTGGGTGGTAGTGGCGCACGCCTTTAACCCCAGCCCTCGGGAGGCAGAGGCAGGCAGATCTCTAAGTTCGAGGCCAGCCTGGTCTACAGAGCCAGTTCTAGGACAGTCAAGGCTATACAGAAAGACCCTGTCTCAGAAAACCAAACCTACCAAACGGATCATACACCTGGAGAGAGGAACAGCTTCCTCCTACTTTCATATGGAAAACGACCAGAAAAGACCCTGTGTAAAACTTCCAGGGACAGTCTCAATGTCTACGTTAGCCACAGTGAGGAAGAACCAGCGAGAGAGCAGTAGACAGCAACCGGCCCTGTTGGAGGATCCGATTTCCAAAGAAGCAAGGAGCTGGAGTCCGAGGCTTAAAGGAAGTGAAACGGTGGTCTGCAGAATTCTGCAGCTGACAATGTATGGGCAAGACAGAGTCTGGACAACGCACCAGCGAAGGGAGTTTGACCCCACATACACGCTCTGGCCGCACTACTTCTACCAATCACAGTTGTCCTTGAGTGGTTTGTGGGGGTGTGGCTTTGTTCAACATGTAGCTGGTAGTACTTTGGGGGCGTGTTAAGTATTGTGTTGATGGGATGCCCTGGGATGGGAACTTCTTTCTAGAGTCTCATCCATTGGAACTACAAAATGGAGTTTCAGAGTCCCCCACCCCCGCACCCCCCAGGATCTCTGGAACTGAGGTGCCATCAACCATGAATGAGCATCTAGTGAAGGTCCTAGGAAGTCACCGCGACCAATTGACCTAGGAAAGAAACCGAGTGCTCAGACTTGGAGAGGTCATGGCACACTCACTCACTGTGGGTCAGGGTGGGATTTTCTAGAAGGTGGCTCTTCTTTGCAGAATTCTCTTGTCTGTGGGTGACTGTAACTTGTAAAATAGCTCAAGGGAAAAGAGGAGTTGTGTTTGTCTTTGGTTTGCTCCCATGATAGGATGGGGATGAAACAGGCACACGGTCCTGCCTGGTTCAGGGTCCGCAACGACTTCGACTGTAACTTGATTGGAATAAGAAATACCCAGGGCTGGAGAGATGGCTCAGAGGTTAAGAGCACTGGCTGCTCTTCCAGAGGCCCCAGGTTCAATTCCCAGCAACCACATGGCAGTTCACAACTGTCTGTAACTCCAGGTCCAGGGGAATCGACACCTTCACACAGATACACATGCAGGCAAAATACCAACGCACATAAAATAAAAATAAAAAGATTATTTAAAAAAAAAAAAAGAAAGAATCAGCACCTACATCACAACTGTCTGTAACTCCAGCTCCAGGGGATCTGACACCATCACACAGATATATATGCAGGCCAAACACCAAAGCATATAAAATATGAATAAATAAATAAATAATAGATAAGAAATACTTAGGAGACTAGTAAATCACAGCTCCGGGTTTGTTGTGAGGGCATTTCCAGGGAGGATTTGATCCCCCAGCCAGGGAGGGACCTGTAGAGGAGACCAATGTGTGTAGAGGAGACCAATGTGCACCCCTAGCTTACAAAATGCTCAGAGTGTCGGTGACTTTCTATGGGCACAGTGGCCCAGCACCACAGTCAGGGCTCAGTGACATCAAATCTCTGTCCACAGAGGTTCTAGAAAGAGTACAGGATCCTCCAGGAGATGAGGGTGGCTGCTGGGCCAGGCCCCCCTGAGCCTACCAAAGCACACTCCGCCCTAGAGCTCAGTCTGCTGAGGGCTAGAAGCAGCTGCCTGTGACAGGAATGGACACAGCATAGTCAAGACAGGCTGCTTTGGAAGGTCTGGAAAGCGGGGAGGGGACAAAAGTCCACAGCTCCTGCAGTCTGGAGATGGTGAGGTGGGGCACTTCATAACAACTCCGCGAGGGGGCACCACATCTACAGAGTGACCAGGGCAGCTAAGCCAATCTTATTTTTCCCAACCATAGCCCCTCCCTAGGCTTGAAGGGACAGATGTCTTGCCAGCTGGGGGGTGGGGGAGGAGGCAGACAAATGCCTCTTGAGACCTCTGTGTGGTCCTGTTAAACAGTTGGGTGTGAGTGTGCACGCTCACGTGTGTGTGTGTGTGTGTGTGTGTGTGTGTGTGTGTGTGTGTGTGTATGTGGGGGATGTGGGCAAATACTTCATAAAAATCTGTTGGTTGCAACCAGCAGTCCCTGTTTATGTGAACGGGAGTGAGTACACTGGCACACACAAATCACGTCAGTGAAAATACAAGAAAGCACAGACGTAAACACACATTCCCTTCATTAAAACCTGTGTCCATAACATGTGGCATTTTGCGTTATCTGGCATGGATGTGGCTGAAAATATAGGGCTTGGGGGGTACGTACCTGAAGATTTGCACAAGACTATGGTATGAGCCTGGGAGTGTGTGTGTGTGTGTGTATGTGTGTGTGTGTGTGTGTATGAATGAAAAGTGATCTGTATGTGTTGCTGAGAGCATGGACATGCAGCATTTGTGTGTGGAGAGTTCACACACGAGTGTGTGCCAAACTGAGTGTGTGAGTGTGAGTGTGTGAAGCAGCCTGTTTCCTGGGAGTGCCTCTAGAAGTGACTAGGAGGGAGATTGGGTACAAAAATGAGCCTTCATTATGTTTGCCAAGGTTGGGAGAGATCCTAGATGGGGGAGGTTCGTGTGTGTGTGTGTGTGTGTGTGTGTGTGTGTGTGTGTGTGTGTGTGTTTGCATGTGAGCCCCTGTGTGGATGGGTGTGTCAGGGTCTGGACTCCTGGGTCAGTGTGGTCTCAGAACCCAGCTCTTTCAGGGTGTGCCTGGAGCACGCCAAGAGGGAAGTGTGGCTGAGGCACCCACCTGAAGATTGGCCCAGTCCTCAGGTTTCACTCATGACCCTGTGACATCAGCGGCAGCAGCTGTCCTCGCCGGCCGGCCCCCCAGCCAAGTCCCCCAGAGCTCCAGCCCCAGCCCGAGGTGGGCACGGCACCCGGGGCTCGTCCGCCACCGCTCCGCTCTGCTCCTGGCCAACAGTGAGTACTATGCCTTTCTGTGCCAGCCCAGCCTGGTACCCCAAGGGGTGGGTCACCCCAAGAGACAGGTGACCCTGGCCTCAACCCCAGCATGGTTCTGAGGAAGTCACCACTTTGCTCTGTCACCGCTGACCTCTCCGCACCCGGCTCTGTTGTCTGTGCCTGGACCCCGCTCTGCCGATCTGCCCTGTCAAGGCTCCTTGTGTGCTAACCCTCTCTGTCCCGACTGGCCTCCTCTGCCCTGTCATCTGTTCTCTCTGTCCCTGCTGTCCGTCCCCTGAGCAAGGGTCCCCATTCTGATCACAAATAGCATGTGACTAAAGCTTAGCTCCAGACAGGCATAGGGTGACCCGAAGGACAGGGTCCAGGCTGTAGTTTCTTCAGGAAGGGACATGAGGGAGAATCAAAACAGTGAGTCCTCCGTCGGCTTGGCCTGCTTGCTGAGGCTGGGAGAAGCCGGGCAGAGGAGAGCGGCTGGAGGCCGGGTGGGGGTGGTGGCGGCTTCTTTGCTCTCTTGAAAGAGGATTCCATGAGATGCCAGCGGAGGACACATCCCGGCTGCCACCAGTCTAGGCTCTGCCCACTGTCCCGCCCTCCTCCAGCCCCTTCTGCCAGCCACAGGCCTCTTTTACTGGCAAGTCTGGGGTTGAGGGGAGGGCAAGAGATGAAGTCCCACATAGCAGAGGGGGGCCCAGGGGAGCAGCCCCATATAGCCAAGAGGGATGTGGGATGTTGAGTCAGAGAGTGTACCTTGAGAGGAAAGATGGGGTCATAGCACTCAGGGAACTCTGGGGACCGAGAGAGTCCTGAGAGGACTTGAGGACATATGGGTTCCCAGTGTAGGTCAGGGGAGCAGTGTCCAGCAGACCTCAAACCCTCCACCCCCTTTACTAAGAATAGGACCCCCAGGACACCAGGACAGGGTGGGCAGTAGTGGCTGGCAGAGGAGAGTTGTGACTAGAGTTGGGAGACACTGCCTGGAGAGGCTAGAGCTAGTCGGGTGTCCAGGTGTTTATCGGAAGGCTCAACTTGCTGAAAGTTCTGAAGGCATCCATCCCAGTCTTAGCTGGGCATAGCGGTATACACCTGTAATCCCAGCACTTAGGAGGCTGAGGCAGGAGGATTGCCATGAATTCAAGGCCAGCCTGGGCCACATATGACTTCATATGGGTAGAGACTGAGATCTCCAGGTCAGAGCAATGTGGGGCTAGGCTATGTCCAAGGGTTCAGGCCTCTAAATGTCAGGAGGCAGCCCCCACTCCCCCACCAGGAGGGAGTCTTCCACCTGCCCTCTCTTCCCCCTTAGCTCCTGAAGTTCACACATGAACAAGTCACTCAGCAGAGCTTGGGAAGCCTAGAGGCATGGGGAGGAGCCTTTGATGAGGTCCTGCCAATGAGCAGGTCGGGAAGTTTGGGCTGAATTTCGGGGAGGTGTCAGGAGCAACATACGCCGCCGTCATCAATCATCTGCCACCATAGCTATGGCTGTATCAAGAGTACCCTAACAGTGGCAGAGGCTGGGTGACATTGTGTGGGGTTGGCGATAGCGGTAGGTAGGTTGTTTTTTCTAGGATCCCTCCAGACACTTCTGGGGTTACTCCCAAGT